TTGCTGATAATGTTCCCTGCTTTTACATCCAGTCTTAGAAGTATGTTCAGTAGCCCTCAATTCAAGGAGAATGTATCATCATTCCAGAAACTTCTTGCTGAAGGAGTTTTTGATAATTCATTCTCTGGAGTGAAAGTTGACCATCATAGAACCTTGAAGAAACTTGTGTTGTACAATTTAACAAAATCGAAGTGGGTGGAACAATATAACCTACTTAAGGTTTGAACTTGTTGCATAGAATAAATATTGCATTTTGAAAAGTCATGTCTTTTGAATTAAAGTAATTTTTATTGATTTTATATCCTGCTTTTGACATAGGGAGGGAAAGGCAAAGATTCTATCAGTAAGTCTGAAGGAAGAGGACTCGTTGCTCGTTTGGAAAATGTTCAAAGATCACAAGATGGACAACACCAAAAGTTTATAGGTAAGCCTCATATTTGTTCATTGGTTGACACCACTGAAAACTTTTAATGATGTGTTTGGAAAGGTGAGCTGGAGAGAGCTAAACAGTACTAATGAAGAAAAGAAAGTTAAAATCTTGTCCATTCCAGTCAAGTACTACTGTCTACTTATAATCACGCACTTGATTGTTTGGCACGTTTCTGCTTGAGAATCAATCATCTTAATCAGGAGTAGTCTGAATTATATTATTGAGATGGAATAGGTACACGCAGGCTTAGGTTATCAAATCCTTCTCAACTTCATTAGAGATTCTCACCACGAATTTAACTTCTATCACATATATTTTATATTGGAAATTACGTAGTATTCCTTGTCAAAGTTCACTCCTGGTCAATATCATGCTTGCAAGTGGCCAGGATTTGTTCCTCATTTTTATAGTTACCATTTACCTAGCCCCCTAGGCTCCTACTTTTCACGTAAGGGCACAATTGAAGGCCATAATTTGGTGTATAACATTTTATAAGCTTCATGATAAAACTCAATCTGAAAACACAAACTGAAAATGAACTTATCCCAATTTTTTTTGAAGTCTATTTTCCTTGGGGTCGGGACTGTTCACCAGTAGATTTTTTCTGTCAACGAATATGTGTGTAGAATCGAAAATAGTGGACAAATTCTACTTTGATTAGCCAACTTAATTGTTTACTATGTAGAGTGACCTCTAAGAAAAGACATGTTTCAGGAGCGAGGACTATGATGAAGAGCCCGAGAAGGGTGTTGATGAAGTCAATTTATGACCACAAGGATCTTATAGACAATGATGGCCCAGAGAATTTGTTTTCATTGCCGAATGATAATGGCTCCCGGGGTTTGGACACATTGCAATTTGCTGATGAGAACTCAGAACAGGATCTACTGCTGGATGTGCCATATAACAGCTCTTTCCCACAAGCTGAACTCCTCCCGCCTTCAAATTTTGCTATGCAAGCAAGTACCAGTAGTAATTCAGTATATCCACATCTTGCTCGTCCCTGAGGGCATGCTTCCCACCGACCTTTCTCTATTCTCCAAGGCAGTTTTGTTTCCTCCGTCTTGCAAACCGGGTGCAAATGAGGTTTGATAATTGCCTCCTCTTTCCCTCGTTTCTATTTCCTCAACCTACACGTAACTCAAACCGAAAAGGGATGGACATATCCCTGGTCTTTTTTGGTATAGGTTGACAGAAGATTGTAATATATAGCAGAAAAATGATAATGTGAAGAGCTTATGCTTGCTGGGAAACTGCTGACTTGTGACATAATTTTCATTTGGCAAGAAATCAGCACTTGGAACAGAGTACTTTCCTAAAATTTATAAACGGCAATCAACAAAACTGTGTGGCGTGTGCAGGAATGAGATTGGACATTTTGATCTTTGTTGTATGGAGCACGTGAATTTTTCAAACATTTGGTATGATTATAATTAAATAAGTAATCGTTATCATTGTTGGACTAAAGCCAACTCAAGATTGTATATTTTGGAGAGTGAGAGACTTATTTTTGAAGACTCACATGTTTGGTATAGATTAAAATTTAGATTTAATTAATTTTGATCACATATTTCATGAGATTCACAATTTTCAATCACATTTCATTAAATTTTATCAAAATTTTTTAAAACTCTGATTTTAATTCCCATCAAATAGGGACTTATTTAAGACATTTATATACTTTTAGTCTCTTTTATACATGACATCATCAATGTGAGTCAATTGTTGTTGTTGTTGACCTAGATTTT